TGCAGATCAACAATGGATAATATATCGAGTGCGGGAGAGAGTATGAGCGTTGTTAGGAAATCAGTTTTACCCCGGTTCTTTTTTTATTCCTCGGGCCTCCAGAGATGCACCGGACGCAGTAGTCATTTTCACAAAACCTTTATTCATCTTCATTTAAGCATGCATCTTCTAGAAGGGAAGACGAGGCCGATGTCCCTCTGCAAAATCTTCACCCCTTTGTCTGTGAAACACAGTTTTATAGAAGTGACCCCATCATAAAACCCCCATGGTGGGCTGCAAACTCTTTGTGTCTGTGTGTATGCACTGTAGCAATGGAAATTGCATTTACCTGTGTGTTCCACCCGGAGTCTTGAGAGTGTAACACCGGAAGGTGAGAAGTAGAGACTCATGTCTGTTTATTAAGAGTTTAATAAAAGTTTACCTCGGAGGAGGGAAAGTTCAACCGAGCATCTTGTGAAGTTTATAGAGAGAACAAGATGAAACATGGTGGCAGCGGGGTCTAGAGCGATCCACACCGCGCTTTGAAGACAACAGATTGAGCGGACGGTATCGACGCATCCAGCTAGGCTAGTTAGCCTCGGAGGTGCTAACTGCTCAGGACAGCAGGTGAGACGCTGACGAGAAGAGCGCAGCGGCGTCTACGATGGATGGATTGAAGCCACCCGCACAGTGGATTATGGATTCAGTGAACCTGTCTAAAGCGTGGAAAACATGGAAAGAAGAGTTTACACTCTACACGGAACTAGCTCTGCCGGATGCTGAGGAAAAGGCGAGAGTGAAGCTGTTTTACTATCTGATCGGGGAACGGGGCAGGGAGCTCTGTGGAACGCTGATCGGAGCTGAGGCAAGAGTAACAGTAAGTGAGCTGATGAGAAAAATCGATGAACACTGTAATCCCAAAGTTAATGAGACTGTCGAGAGATACAGATTTTTTGCACGCAATCAGGCTCCTGGAGAAAATATTGATAAATATGTTACGGACCTGAGAATGCTGGCGAGCACCTGCAACTTTGGACAATTAAAAGACTCACTGATCAGAGACAGGATCGTCTGTGGCACGAACAGCTCCAGTTGGAGGGAAAGGTTGCTCAGAGACGAGAACCTAACATTGGACAGATGTCTAGATATTTGTAGAGCAATGGAGATTTCAAGAGAATACAACAAAACAATAGCGGGACAGGCTGTAGAGGAACTGCATGCAGTAAAACAAAAAGAGAGAAAAAGACTGGATAAAGAGATATCATGCAGATTTTGTGGAAGAGCACATGAAAGACTCAAATCAAAATGCCCAGCATATGGAAAAAAACGCAAAAAATGTGGCAAAGAAAATTATTTTGCTATAGCATGCAGGAGTAAAAGCAGACAGAGTGAAAACGGAAAAAAGGTCCACACAGTGACGGAGCAGGACTCGGATTCCTGTGAGGACATAATGACTGTCACAGCTATGACACAGACTGCAGTAGAAGTGAACCAGATCAAAGAATCAGACATGAAAAAACGAGAGCAGCTGTTTGCAGGCATGATGATTGGCAACAGCCTGGTCAAGTTTCAAGTTGACTGTGGTGCAACCTGCAACGTTATTCCCATCAACTTGTTGAACCCTAACATCAAAATGGAGCACACAGACAAGGTTCTTGTGATGTACAATAAGTCAAGGTTGTGTCCATTAGGAAAGTATAAGGTCAAGCTGACAAACCCAAGAGTCGAGTTCCAAGTGGTAGGATTGTAAAACACCTCTACTTGGGAGAACAGCTAGTGAAGCAATGAAGCTAATACAAGTTAAATATGATAACATCTGTGCTTTGGACAGCTCAGTGACAACAGCTCCATCAGAGAAAAACGCATGGTTGTTGGAAGAGATAAAGACTGAGTTTCAGGATGTGTTTACAGGAGATGGATGTTTGCAAGGTGAATATGAGCTGGAAATCGACACAACAGTGCAGCCCGTCAAACTGCCAAAACGCAGAGTCCCAGTGTCGATGATGAAACCACTGAAAGAGGAACTGATGAGCCTTGCAGACAGACAAATAATAGCACCAGTGGAAGGTAGTACTGATTGGATCAGTGGGATGGTGACAGTGCAGAAGCCAAATGGCAAACCCAGGATATGTATTGACCCAAGACCGCTCAACAAAGCTTTGAAGCGTAGTCATTTCCCGTTACCAACAATAGATGACATCTTGCCAGATGTGTCAAAAGCGAAAGTTTTCACAGTTTGTGATGTCAAACATGGCTTTTGGCATGCGAAGCTTACATAAGAGTCAAGCCATCTCACGACATTCGCAACACCATTTGGTCGCTTTCGTTGGCTGAGAGTGCCGATGGGGATCTGCCCAGCGCCAGAGGTCTTTCAGCGCAAACTGATGCAAGCGTTAGAGAACCTGCCAGGCACATACATCATTGCTGATGACATCCTGATCACTGGAAAAGGAGAGACGACTGAGTTGGCAGAAATGGATCATGACAGAAACCTGAGACTTTTCCTGGAACGCTGCAGAGAGAGAAACATCAAATTAAATGTGGAAAAACTCAAGCTTAGAAGACAGGAAGTACCATACATCGGACATCTACTCACAGCAGAGGGGCTGAGAGCTGACCCAGAGAAGGTACGGGCCATCACAGAGATGCCAGCACCAACTGACATAAAAGGGGTGCAGAGACTAGTTGGAATGGTCAACTATTTATCAAAGTTTTACAAGCATCTGTCAGACGACTGTGAGCCTCTCAGACAACTGACGCACAGAGACAGCCTATGGGAGTGGACAGACGTGCAGGAAGATGCATTTAAAAGACTGAAAGAAAAACTAACACAAGTCCCAGTTTTGAAATATTACAGCCCTGAAGAAGAGCTGACGCTGCAGTGTGATGCCAGCGAGACAGGACTGGGAGCAGCTCTGACTCAACATGGAAAACCAGTGGCATTTGCAAGTCGTGCACTGACGCTCACTGAAAGAGGTTATGCACAAATTGAAAAGGAATGTTTAGCTATTGAGTTTGGGATGGAGAAATTCCACCAATATACATATACAATATGTATATTGGTGGAATACAATATGGTCGTCTTGTGAGAGTGCAATCAGACCACAAGCCACTCGAGAGCATTATTACAAAGCCATTATTACAAAGCCACCTGTTTCAATAAAAAGCATGGACAGAATAAGAGCAGGGACTAGAACCGACCACACACTACAAACGCTGATAAAAACAATACAAAAGGGGTGGCCGGCCTGTAAGAAAGATGTACCTGTTGAAATAACCCAGTTCCAATCTTTGCAGGATGAACTGAGCACACAGGATGGATTGGTCTTCAAGGGAGAGAGAGTGGTGATTCCAGAAGCACTGCAGGCAGATATAACCCAGCGAATTCACTCAACACACATCGGCACAGAAGGGTGCCTCAGGAGCGCTAGAGACTGTGAATTGAGTAAACAATTTCTTTTTACACCAAATGTTGAGGCCAAAGCAGGATTTTGTTGAATGGCACCACAGTGTTTGTAATGAAGTTCTTTGGAACGCAGTGTTAAGCCTACATGATCTTCACTAAAAACTGACTGCAACTCTGTCTTATCAGTTAAACAAAGTCTACAACAATAGTTTGCACTAAATGATTCAACAAAACCAAAAATGCTATGTAAAGCCAAGTTGTCACCTGTAATCTGAAAAAGCGAACCTCTCACAGGTGTGGCTGAAAAGGGCACTTGCATTCCTTCAGTCTCTAAAATCTTTAGATCATCAACAAGTGGCTTTAGGATAGGATCAAACCCATATTTTTTTAAGTCTTCTGAATGAAAAACGGCTACAAGATGAATGTTCATCAACACAGAATTTAACTCTGGTGGCAAATTTCTCAAAACAAAATAAATACAACCAAGTTTGTGCACCCCCTTTTTTGAGCCTAAAGGATTAGCAGTTTCAAAATCGTCATAGTAGAGCTGGATCTGGAGAGCATGTTCTTGTTGTGAGAATAAACTGTGATTTTTGAAGTAGGAGCCGTCATTTAAATCTCTGTACAATCCCTCCATGTTTAGTTTTTTTTTCTGGAAACTGCTACAAAGTTCACTGTTTCGAAACATAGATGAAAGGGATCCCATGATAGGAACGTACATGAATTTATCATTGACAGGAACTTGCCTGTATGTCCCTGTTGTTCTATCTTTGCGTACATCAAAACGCACACCAAGAACATGCTCTATGGGTTCAACTATTTTCCATTTTTGCTCAAAATATCTTATCCTTTTAGATTCTGTGTTAAGACATGAAAATGGATTTTCAAGCTGATCAAAGCAATCCTCAACTTTTTCTAAGGTTTCTCTTGATGTATCAGTTGACAAACAGTCGACAACAGATTGTTTTGCATGTGCATGGATGTCATTAACCAGTTCCTCCAATGAACCAACTAAACACTGTACAGTACTTTCAGGAACTCCTGATGATTGTACTTGAGCAATAACAGAGCTGCACATGTTCAGTATTTGCCTTTTTTCAACTGGAACCGGTGTAGTTATTGTCATGGGATGAGCCACATTTACAGGCTGTGAAACAGAGGTTCCATCGTTAGGTACAGGCTCAAAATTGTTGATGACCTCAGAGTGAACGCAGTCTCCATGTGCTCGGAATAAGTGCCGCTTGTAACCAGAGTACGTGTGAAAGATAAATGAACATCCAGGCTCTCCACAGGTCAAACGTAAAAACTTTCCTGGGTACAAACCATGCTGGAACTTCAAATGTCTAAATAACACTGAGCAACTTGTGTGGTGTATCTTGCAAATGTAACAGATGAACATTTCCAGTCAAAGTGCTGAATAGTGGATATCTTTAAACCGTACAGTGAAGACTTCCTCTTGTTTCATTGACCCGAGGACTGTCCTTCACGCTGCCAACATCAATGCCATACACTTGATGGTCTGGATGAATGTGTAGAAGTTGTCCAATGCCTTATCAAAGGACACGGCAAATTAAAAAATGTGCCTTGAAAAGTTTTGCCTTGTCACCTGTACTCTGGGACAGATTTTTGCAATCTTTGATGATCCTTGGCTTGAAGAATGTTGGCCACTTTGCAAGGAACTTACCAGACACTTCCTCCCCAAAAAACAGCATTGTGAAGTCTTGGTCAATCTTAAACACAAAGTGTAACAACAGAAACAACACATTAACAAGAAAACAAACAAAGGAACCACAAAGCAGTCATTAAATTATTTTACGCCTTACCAAGCCAGGTGTATCCAGAAATCTTGGGAAAAGGTCCAGGACAGTAGAAGCTATGGCAGGTTCTTGAACCACTTTTTGCCTATGTTGAAATGTCACCTTCATGTTGTCTTTGACATGTTTCATGTCAGTTGAGTGCCTCTTCCTTGCATTTATCACCTGACAACGGCCTCACATTTGAACACAAGTTGCGAAGAGTCTTGGGGCTGTCTTGAAAAGCTGACTTTGATTAGTTCATCTCTTCTCGGGAACCAGCATATCACCACCTGCCAAGAGTAAAATAAGGTCCAGCATATAACACCATTTCTTTGCAAAATATCTAGCATGTCTAGTCCCTTTAGACTGAGTTAAAATTAATTTTGTTAAGAAAAACATCCTTGATCCATTTTTTAAGTAGTACAAGCTGTGTAACATGACTGCAATACAGTATTCTCTCAACTATCACAGGGGTTAGTAGGAACCATATTTCTATTTTATTATTTTTTATATATTTTAAGCGATAAAAACCCTCCCCACAAATATTCCTGACAATGTAGCGTTTGGTTTGTTCGTTTTTAAATTTCAAATATTGTATAACAAGACAAAACTGCAAATATGAACGCATCCCCCCCTCTCCCTCTTAACTAACCGATGCCTTTAATTGAACTACCAAATTAACACAATGGTCCTCTCTTTCTGGTCAGACACTTTGCAGCACTTCTGCTGTAATTTTATTCATATTTAACAAAATAAAAATGCAGAAATAAGTGTACACATTAGTTTTTGACTCTCACTGAACTAACAAAGCCAATCCCTCCACATGTTTGTACTCTCTTGTTACCTCGGCCAGGTCCGCGGCTCTGAACCGTGGTAATGACACCTCTGGCCAATACGCTGGGTTGTCGGGCTTGTAGCTTTACTGTCAGCGAACACAGTGTACAGTCGAATCTTAACAGCTTTCTTACAACCAGGCACTCATTTTGGCGGCAGTGGTCATTATTATATTTACATGCTCTCTTCTTCCATTTCTCATCGGTAACAGCTCTTACTTTCTCCCTCTCTCGCGCTCAAACACATAACGGGAGGGGCAGTTCCACACGTTCTCCCCGCAGCACGGACTACACTACCCATGAGGGCCGGTAACACTCTGCCCTCATTGCCTTTATATTAAATCATTTTTGGCTAATGACAAAAAAAAGTCACTTTAAGCGCCAAATTGCATTATACTTCTTCACCTCACCTGACGTGGGCCGCAAGTGGCCTTTGGGCCACGAGTGGCCTCTGGGCTGCGAGTTTGAGACCACTGACCCTAAGGCTTTGGCAGTTTAATTCGAAAATAAATAAAAGGCATTTAATAAAAACTGTGACATATATTAACATGTAATATTCATTACAGCCAATAGCCAGATTATGCTAAATGAATATTAGGAAAGAAACTGGTACTTTGCAGAGTTCTAGCTAGCAGTAGCCCAGCTTAACAAAAACAGTTAAAATTCAAATATGACACTTAAAGATGATGTATTTTGATATAAATACTATTTCTTTTACTAGTTATCATGTTACTTGTTCTAACATCAATCTAAAACTTAATATTTAACCGAATAAAACTTACCGCATCAGCAAGAAAAAATGGCGACCGAAGATTCTGGATTGCGAAGCTCCACAGGAAATGAAGGTGTGGTCTAATTTAACACCCACAGTGTTAAAATGCAGTAACGACTAAAATCTACACTTACACTTTTCAGGAATCAACTCCCGATGTGTTATTTTAACTCGATTAAGTGTTGAACTAACTCGGAACTCTGTTGAAATCTACTAACACTGAAAAATCAACACTGGCATTTTTGCTGTGTATTCATTGTAACTTGAACCATAAAATTGTCTTAAATTGCATAACTGCTGCTGACGGCAGCCACATTAACCCTTTAAAGCCGGTCGGAGCGGCAACGCTCCATCTTGCGTAACTATTTTTAAATCCCTTTTGCATATGAAACCGGAGGATCAGCTGTTCGTAACACTTCCTACATTGAAATAGACATCGCATGTCCGCCATTACCTGCCCGGAAACCGGAAGTGACGTCATTTTCGCGAAAAATGTAGTTTTTTTACTTGTAGGCCTTAAAAGCCTGTACTGGTGTTTTTAAAAGTCATGTTTGACTTCATGCTTTTCTGAATAGTTTCTGGGATGCTTAGAACTCAAATTGCACTGCTTTAAATAGTTTATTTTGATGCACATGCTGTTTTCTTTGCAAATTTGCATTATAGGATTGTTTTTCGTTTTTCTACAGTATATAAAAATTGGTGTATCTCAAAAATAAAACTATGAAGACACTCAAAATAAATTTCCTGTGGTTGTAAACTATTTTTGCAACTTTTTGTATTTACACTTTTGAGGGATAAACTTCTTAATTTTCTCTAATTAGAAATATATGTAAAAAAAAAAAAAGATTTTCAATTTTTCTGTAGTTTATTGCACTTTTTTGCAATTTATGTGGTTACTATGGATTTAATGCATAAATATTATTAAAGTTTGGGCTATAACAGTTGTATTGATGTATAGCAACTTGAAATGCTCCCAAAAATGGCACTACAGCAAAAACAGCACCCTCTCAACCTTGATGGTGTTTAAGGGAGAGAAACAGTTGAAATGAACAGTATCGTTCTCAAACCGCTCCTCTTCCAGGAATGAAGCCCAGGCTGATAACCCTCCCTCTTCTTCCTGCTCTTAAACACCTCTCTGCCCACATGTTTCCTCATTTCCACACCATCACTTCTCACGTTGAAGTTGGGTGTAGCCAACATGCGGTGACATGTTAGAGCTCAGACTCGAGTCACTGCAGGAACACATGTTGTTCAGATCAGACCTCAAACTAGTTTCAGTTATAAGGAAGAGAAACTCACGAAAGCGCTTAAACTGAGAGGAGAAATGGCACAGAAAGGAGTTCAGCTGGACCGAGAAACCTTCTTTTGTTCCATGTGTTTGGATCTACTGAATGATCCGGTGGCTATTCCCTGTGGACACAGCTACTGCATGAACTGTATTAACGGTTTCTGGGATGAAGAGGACAAGAAGGGAATCCACAGCTGCCCTCAGTGCAGGAAGACTTTCACACCGAGGCCTGTCCTGGAGAAAAACATAATTTTAGCAGCTTTAGTGGAGCAGTTGAAGAAGACTGGACTCCAGACTGTTCCAGCTGATCAGTGCTATGCTGGACCTGAAGATCTGGCCCATGATGGCTGCACTGGGAGGAAGCGGAAAGCCATAAAGTCCTGTTTAGTTTGTCAGGCCTTTGACTGTGAGAAACACCTCCAAGCTCACTATGATGAAGCTCCATTAAAGAAAAACGATTTAGGCAAGCCAAAAAAGAAGATCTAAAGATTTTCTGGTGGAAATTTGCTCTCGTCATAACGAGGTGATGAAGATTTTCTGTCGTACTGATCAGCAGAGTATCTGTTATCTCTGCTTGATGGATGAACATAAAGACCATGAAACAGTCCCAGCTGCAGCAGAAAGGACTGAGAAGCAGAAGGAGCTCGAGGTGAGACGACTAAACATCCAGCAGAGAATCCAGGAGCGAGAGAAAGATGTGAAGCTGCTTCAACAGGAGGTGGAGGCCATCATTGGCTCTGCTGATAATGCAGTGGAGGACAGTGAGAAGATGTTCACTGAGCTGATCCGTCTCATGCAGAAAAGAAGCTCTGATGTGAAGCAGGAGGTCAGATCCCAGCAGGAAACTGAAGTGAGACGAGTCAAAGAGCTTCAGGAGAAGCTGGAGCAGGAGATCGCTGAGCTGAAGAGGAAAGACGGCGAGCTGGAGCAGCTCTCACACACAGAGGATCACAACCAGTTTCTACACAACTACACCTCACTGTCAGCACTCAGTGAGTCTACACACTCATCCAGCATCAATATTCGTCCTCTGAGGTACTTTGAGGATGTGACAGCAGCTGTGTCAGAGACCAGAGATAAACTACAGGACACTCTGAGAGAGGAATGGACAAACATCTCACTGACAGTCACTGAAGTGGATGTTTTACTGTCACCAGCAGAGCCAAAGACCAGAGCTGGATTCTTAAAATATTCATGTGAAATCACACTGGATCCAAACACAGCATACACACATCTGTTATTATCTGACGGGCAGAGAAAAGCAACATTTATGAAACAAAAACAGTCTTGTTCTGATCATCCAGACAGATTCAATGTATATTATCAGGTCCTGAGTAGAGAGAGTCTGACTGGACGTTGTTACTGGGAGGTGGAGTGGAGAGGGGGAGGCATTCGTGTAGCAGTCGCATACAAGAATATCAGCAGAGCAGGTGACTCAGATGAATGTTTTTTTGGAAACAATGACAAATCTTGGGCATTACGTTGCGACAATAATAGTTATATATTTTGTCACAACAATGTCCGAACTGTGCTCTCAGGTCCTTGGTCCTCCAGAGTAGGAGTGTACCTGGATCACAGAGCAGGTATTCTGTCTTTCTACAGCGTCTCTGAAGCCATGACTCTCCTGCACAGAGTCCAGACCACATTCACTCAGCCGCTCCATGCTGGACTTTGTCTTTATGGAGATGGAGACACTGCAGAGCTGATCAAAGTCAAATAGACAGAGAAGATATGTTCATGTTGATCCCTGAATATTATATGTACTTGTGTAGTTTCTAAATGAGGCTTTAGTGGCCCATTGATTCAAACTGTACTTACATCTATAGACCTTACATCATTATAAATCTGCATTTGTTCTGAATGGCTGATAATCATGTGAGTTAAATGATACTACTCTTCATATTCAGCATGTTTGAAATCTTTCATCAGTCTGGTTGGTGGTTTTATTCTGTAGTTGCTGTAGTGGGTTGTCAAATGCAAAAATATATTTGAGCTGCAGTGATTCATCAGTTTGTCAATGATTAGAGAACTGATTGTTTTATCATTATTTTAGTAACATTTAAAGCTGGTTCCAGTTTCTGAAATGAGATTTTCTTAATCATATGTAACCTTAATGTCTTTAAGGTTTGAACTTTCAAAATGTAGCAAAAAATGGATTCATTGAGGTTTGTGATGATATTATGTTATTATTATTGTATTTAGAGTGATGACATGTCGTTTTTTGAAAAGTTTGATCACACCTGGTTATGAAAAATGAATGAAATGAAAAGCATTTATCGTACTTAGTTCTCTCGTTTCCACCTAAACATGATATACCATATTCTGACTGAGAGATTTCTGGAAAAAAAAAAGTATAAGCTCTGCTATCACTTCCAAAATAACTGAACATGAACTCACTGGCCTTTTTCCACTGAACACTCTTCTTCATCACCTCATCTGCACCTTCTGACTGCTGCTGAGCTCCAACACTTTTTAACTAAAGTGCTAATGAGAGTAATCTAACAGTATGAACAAACATTCACATGCATTCAAACACAAATACCTCAGTTAGTGCATAGATCACTTCAAGAGCAGCATAATGATCATTATTTTGTAGCAGCATTGAGACATGTTATTGCAGCTGGGTAAAAACCGTTTCAGTCTATTTGTGTATACAGGAATTTCTCTTTCCTGCATGTGGAGAATGCTGTTAAATCAGAACATTAACAGGTTCCAGGTTGTATTCAAACACATATTACTGTGTGTAACGTGTCAGCATTACACACCTTAATGCTATGTGTACAGCTGTGTGTACACAGATTATGCTTTCAGCTCTGCGAGCTGTAGACTCAACGTCACTGTTAAGTTAGAACCGAATGATCGCTTTTATATTTACTGGTCTGTTAAACTAGAGAACTCTTATTTTCCACGTTGTGATTTCTAACATGTTAAATACCCTGATGTCTTCATTTTATTTCTGCAAAAATAAATATATTAATGTCAGCAGCTGCTGATCAGCTCCAACCTCAGAGATCAACTTTAATACCACAAAATGAGAGAGAGGACTGGACGGCAATTTTAATCAGCCTGACAGCAGCAGTTTTTTATGAACTCTAATGGTGGAGATCATTTCACTTTGGGCTGTGCTGAGAAAGGAAGAAAAGTGCCTCTTTAGATGAAATTTATTATAGACAAGGGAGATTGTACTCTGCAGTTTGAAAATGACACACCACCATCAGACTACAAACTGTGTTTAAACTCCTAGGACCTAGCCTCCACATATGTGGACATCACATTTTGGGTTATCTAGACCACAATACAACATTTTGCTCTACAAGGGCCTGATATCCACTTATGAGGATATTATACTGCCACTGTTCTATAAAAATATAAAACGAATGTCCTCATATGTGGGTCTCATTTTTCTTAGAAAACAAAAATCAGGTAATTCTAAAAAAGGTCATCCGGTCCCAATCAGCCTAAATAGCAAAGAGAAATTAAAAAATGCCATGAAAGAGTTAGAGTCTTAGCAGGTTAAAGCTAAGAGACAAACTGAGCTCTCTACTGCCCGCACTAGTACAGTGATTACAGAAATAATGAGCTCTATACATTTACATTTATTCTGGTTTAACCTGTTAAATCTACAATTCAGCTTTCACTCCTCATCTGTAAATTTTGACAAAATTATTCTCCACACAGGTCTCAGTTTTTATTCTCTGAGCAGTTGCAGACATGGTATTTGTATGATTTAAATTCCTTTAAAAACAGGAGCAAATTCTTGATCTTGTTCTCCGTTCTCTTCACTTGATGGAGTCGAGATGGTTCAGATAACCGTTGTGAAGGAATGTCATTAGCAGAATCTAATCACAGAAAAATATGTCTCACACTGAGGAGGGAAATTCTGCACACTTCCCCGACACTGTACACTGTTTCACAATAAAAAAGAAGCAATCAGCA